AAGCTTTATATTTTGTGACATTCGAAATGATACAGTTTTAGAATTCTATTTTCTAATCTTTCGATATAAGAAAAATTTTAAATAAAATTGTAATCGAATTTCAGCCTATATTTTTTATACTTTCTCATAATTTCTCTGCATATATGCCTGTTGAACGTTAAAAATGACAGTTGAAACTCTATAACTATTCTTTTTCTTCCAATAATAAATTTACCTAAAGGAAAACAGAACGTTCCAGTGGTATTCGGTAGCTATTACTGTGGAAAAAATAGTGTCTGAATGATATCCTGTCTCTGTAAACTCACTTCATTAATTGTGTTGAATTTGGATGAATTACATTACTTTTATAAATAGTTTGGTTATTAACCAGTCTGTACTAGAAAAATCGAGTTTTAAAAATTATGAGAACAGTCAGCATAGTTGTTGATTTCATTACAATATAATATGATCACTTTTGAGCGAATTAATGTCGATGAAACTGCCGGGTTTTGGGTGTTCTTTTTCTTCAGAACTATCCTTGCCTCATACTCAAATTGATAGCCATTTGCATATCCATATCCGTACACACTTACCTCTGAAGAGCATTATAATAGATTTCTTGAAAACTTTTAAAGTTCACTAGTAAAACAAGGCGAGTGCGACCAAATTGTTTTTACCTCGCAGTCCCATATAGAAAGCAAAGTGTGCTTGAAGAATTGCAGTGCAAAGATTGAGACATTTTCAAGTAGGTTTCCTCTACGATGACCATTTTATGTGTTTTCTGTAATTCAAATTTCGTTACACCTACCGAAATATGCAACGGTCCAGGAGAACCAAAACAACATGGGACAGAGAGAAAGGAGAAAAACAGTCTCTACCCTAATTTCTTTTCTTTCAGATTGACATCAACATAAATAAATATCGGCATGGTAAATAATTTTGATTTTTCTTGAAAATGTATTCTTATGAATATTCATTTAGAAGGAAAAAGGCAATTTGAATTTTGCTGAAAATTTTGCACTCAGTGGTCTTGCTGCTATTGCTTCAAAAACTGCAGCTGCATCCATTGAACGTGTACAATTGTTCGTAAGAAATCAAGGTTATCAGTTTGGGCAAGGTACAATTAGTCGTCCATATTCTGGTCTTATTGATTGTGCTATTCGTACATTTAAAAGTGAAGGCCTGTTTCCATTTTGGCGAGACAATACAGCTAAATATATTCGATATCTTCCTATACAAGTTGATTTTGAATCGATTCTTCAAAAATATACATTATTGATATTTTTCTCTTGTAAGGTTCTGTGTTTCGCTTTGAATAAAAAGATAAAAGCAAAGTTCAAACATGGGAAAAACTATTCTAATATGAAGAACTTTGTTATAAATGTATCAAGTGGTGCTGTTGCCGGTATATTATCAATCTGTTTTATTTATCCACATGATCTTCCACTCACACGTTTAGTTAATGATAGGAGAAGTGTAAAGAGAGATGGTGGTGCACCCAAAATATAGGGTGTACCAAAATTATAAGATCGCCTTTTATTTTTGAAGTTTTTCCACAAAAACGGACAGCTAGGTACAATCTAAATAGTGATTTAGATAGCCCTTGAAGATCTCTATCGAATACAGTATGAGCCAGAATCTCTAAAGAAACTTAGTGAAGAGAGTTTTCAAGAAAACCGTTCCACCTAAAAGTCGAGTTTTTGAGAGTTTTGACAAAAACATTTTTAAATATAGTCATCTCAAAGAGCAAAAAATTCTGAGCAAAATGAGTGGTCGCCCCGCTCTCCACGATGTTTCCTCGCAGAGTTATAAGCATCAGAAAAATGGAAAAAATATGTTTTTTAGCGGTTTTTTGATTAATTCTGCAATTTTTCCTATTTTTCTGGTGCTTATAACTCTGCGAGGAAACATCGTGGAGAGCGGGGCGACCACTCATTTTGCTCAGAATTTTTTGCTCTTTGAGATGACTATATTTAAAAATGTTTTTGTCAAAACTCTCAAAAACTCGACTTTTAGGTGGAACGGTTTTCTTGAAAACTCTCTTCACTAAGTTTCTTTAGAGATTCTGGCTCATACTGTATTCGATAGAGATTTTCAAGGGCTATCTAAATTACTATTTAGATTTTACCTAGCTGTCCGTTTTTGTGGAAAAACTTCAAAAATAAAAGGGGGTCTTATAATTTTGGTACACTCTGTATAATGGACTTATTGATGTTTATAAGAAGACATTGATTACTGATGGTGTTGTTTGTTTTTACTCTGGTTTCTTCAGAACATGTGTGGCTGCTGGTATTCATCGTGAATGTTATTTTGGTCTTTATGGTAGGGTGTGGGGTGTGGATGTGGATATGGGTGTGGGTTTGGGCTGTCTTTTCTCACGTTCATATCCGCACCCGCACCCACACCCACGCCCACGGTCTGTGATGATCTTTGGAGTCCTTCTATCACGATCTGTGATGGGCACTGGATCTCTCTGTCACGGTCTGTGATGGGTACTAGGTTTCTCTGTCACGGTCTGTGATGGGTACTAGGTTTCTCTGTCACGGTCCGTGATGGGTATTAGGTTTCTCTGTCACGGTCTGTGATGGGTATGGATTTTCTCTTTCACGGTCTGTGGGGGTGGGGGTCCGAATTTCTACCCTATACACTTCAACACTCCTTTTAGATCATGTTTCACAAAAATAGTTCATTCGAAAATGAAAGTCACAGTCTGTATGGATGGGTTAATGTAATACAAGGAAATTAAACTAGTCCATCACTGTTGCAATTAAAATCCAATAAGTGTCCGACTCCAATCGGATCACAAGAATTTTGACCTATGTCGAACGCTACTATGCAATATGAATGATTTGTTCAGTACAGGGCTGCCAGATCTTCCGAATTTTGGTACTTTTTCCAAACTCTTTCGAATTTTTGAATATTTTTTCGAGACCTGTTGTTTCTCTAGATTCGAGATTTAATGACTTTGGTTATAACTTCTAATTTAACTCTCATTCGCAATTCTTGCGCTGTCGTTGTTCTACTGTAATCATTCCATAATACAATTTTGAGACTATTTACAATGTAAGATTGTTTGAATTTAAAATCTATCCGAACTCAATGAATACTTTATATTGTTTAAAAAAAATGTCATTTGAATCAATAACTTCTTTGACATGGACTGAACTTTAAGTTTAGAAAAGTGTTTTTTTACATGATAATTGTCTCTTGTTATCCTGAATTAAATTCAGCCATGAATGATGAAGATGATGATTCAGATGTGAATCTAAGTGAGATTGAAGAAAGAAATAAGTATATCGGCAACAATTTTTGCACAAAATGTTGATAGAACAACACATATGTCCATCAAAAAGGTGGTATATATGTTTGATAGTAAAACAACTGCTTTCCGAACTTTTTTCGAAGTAGAATATAAAAAATTCCGAATTTCGATTAAAACATTTCGATTTCTAATTTTTCGATCTGGCAACCCTGGTTTAGTACGAGAAGAATTCCATAATAGCCTATGAAAATTGAAATGCGTCAAAGGTATCAAATCTTGTTACACTCGATCATTTTTTTCTAATGGTTTTATTCGACTGATAAACAAGCAGAAAAAAATTTATGCATTCTTTTTGAAAACTATTGTTTGATTGTTGAGAAGCGAGTTCATATTCAGACTTTGCTATCGTATGGAACAATCAAACAATATTTGTCGAAAAAGTATACATAGATTTTTTTTTCTTAAGTATATGACGAGTAAAATCTTTGAAAAATATTGAGCCTGTTGATACTTGATCATTTTATAAGATTTTTTTTGCAAATCTCATTTTTGCGATAATAACATTGGTCGAGTCTATTGATAACAGAATATTTTCACAAGTAACTCAACAGACTCTATAATTTTTTTTAACTAGTAAAATATATTTCACTGAATAATTATCTTACTCGAATAATATTTAATAACATTGTAAAATTAATATTAATTTCATTCGACTTCTCTTAATTCCATTCCAACTAAATACTAATTATATTATGTTAATGTTTTGTTTTCTATAACAATATTGTCATCTAATACATTCTCATTGTCATTTGTACTATTATGAAAACGTTTTGAAATTGGTGTATTATTATTCTTCTCATTTATATATGAATGTTTATCTTGGCGTTTTCGTTTGATTGTCATATTTACTAATGAATCAAGTAATGGACTATTATCATATGTTGATGGTGAAAATAATAATAATGAAGAATCTGATGATGTTGTTGTTGTTTGATTACTAATTCAATTAACTGTATATATGAATTTGTCAGCATTATTCATGGAGCATAAACATGCACAAAATCACTAAGAACAATATCATACATATATAATATCTTAATCTTTTCGCTTTTTCCCTTGTTGAAGATTCATTCATTTCTGTTGTTATAAAGCCACCTAACAAAGATTTTTTTTGCTTGTGACAAGTTATTGACCTGAAAATTTTTTAATCTAAAATTTTGTCGATACTTAGATCTGTTCATCCGAAGGGTATTGTAAAAGTTTAAATATTTAAAAGCTTCTAATTTCTTCGAGTTTATGAAATCGAATCAACTTTTGAATATTAAGTATGCCAATAAAGAAGCAATTGTTTCAGCTGAAATATGTTCTATTTAATTTTCCAACTAATATTTAATCGGTTAAATATTCATAAAAATGATCGTAACTCGGCTTCGGAAGCGTACAGCAGTTCATGTGACGTAATATTTTGCATTTTATATAACAAATAAAAATAATAAATAAATGACCATATGTAAATGTTGTAAATGATTATCATTAAGAAATGTACACAAATAAAAATAAGATTATATAATGGTTTAGCACGATATATTTAAATTTCGTTTTCTTCCATATGAAATGATGTCTAAAGAATTTATAAACAAATTGATATATATGTTTATGTTAATAAGCAAATGAACAGTTCTATACAAGATATTTTTCACCGATACTTGCATGTGAAACAACACGTATTACTTGATCATGCTAATCTTTTCGAACAGATTCACCAAGATAATGAATAAGATCACTGAATTTCCTCTATATAAACAGAAAAAAAAATATTCAAGAAAACTGATATTTTGCTTAATTACCATATGTGTTGTCAAATTCTAATAAAACGTTTGACAGTTGCAGATGAATATTGATAGGATGATGAAGATCGACTTCTTTTTGCTATAGAAATAGCCTAAAAAAAATTTTCTAAATTCTAATTTGAGACAATAAAAAACAAAAGATTTTTTTACACTTTTGTTGAACATCTGATAATACAAATTCAGAATTAATTGCATAAATATCTTCATTTTCTTTTAAATATTTAAACATGCAATCATCAAATGAATTCACAGCCGAACTACGTCATTGGCGTTACGATAATAATAATTTTTGTTACAGTTAATGTACGAATTGCTTGTTGTTCATTATGAATGCATTCATATACATATTAATCTTCGAATGATGGTAGGAATCATTGATTTAAATAAGCAGAACCGATGAAACAAAATATATAGTTCCTTGAAATAAAAAATAAATAAATTTTATTTAATTCAAAAGAAATATATTGAAATATAAACAATATATCATTTGACAACGAACCTTGCACGTGAGTGTGCGTGTGTTCATCTACTTTGTACACATACTGAACACGTGAAAGAGAGAGGAGAAAAAAGAAATAGGTCAAGAGAAGAATCTTCTTTTTTCCTTCTCTCATCCATAAGTCATTGTTCATGTTATCATTGATGATCAATGATCACATGTACAATTAATGTATATATCAATTAAGCTTTATCCACTTGTATACATTGAGATATTTGTGATTGAATATATCTCAATGTATGTGTGTGTGTCCCGATCAAATCTTAATTGAAATCGACTTCTAATTATTTTCTGACGAGAAAAAACAATGAATATTTTCTCGCCCAAGAAAAAAAAGAATTTTTGGGGGTATAAAAGTGAATGATCTCCAACGAAGAAATCATTCAAGTTTTTGAATCAAATAATAATAATTTATTTTTTATATTTTAGATTGGCTTCTACGATACAATATTATTCAATTCAACATCAAGCAATCCAATAAAAAAAATGTAGGTATCAGTTTTAATTTCTTTTTTTTCTCTTCTTTTTAAAATCATATGAGAGGGTGGTAAGTCTCTCATTGGTTTGTTTTATGTTTTGTTTTTTTTATTTTAGCTATCAAGTAATAGAAGTAAGTAAAAACTTTTTTAACTAGTTTTTTTTTCTTTTCTTTTAGGTCCAGTTGAACAAATTAAAGTAAGTAGAAATTTTTTATTTAATGTATTCTTTTTTCTAATTTCAGGTAATGGAAAGTCAATAGGAGGGATAGCAGTAGGGTAAGTGATTCTCTTCTTTTCTAAATATACATGATTAAATAAAATTTCTTTTCCTTTTAGTTTATCATCGCATCACATCTCATCAACAACAACATCGTCGTCCAACATCAAAACAGAGTGAGTAATTATTTCTTTTTGAGATTGAGAGGGTTAGGGTGAGACTAAGCAAAGTGAGTGTTAGTAGGGGGTGGATGAGTTATGTCCATTGAGATTAGACCCCTGTTATCTATTAGGCCTTCCGGACTTAGGCCTAAAACACCGGTCAGGAACTATCTTGGTGTTCGTGGCACACGACCGGGCTCCCCAGACTCATTGACATATCTCTCGAGTGGGAGGGATGCGAATGATATGAGTCTGTCCCGCGCGTGCACGAAGGTTACGCTCGCCACGGCTCCACCAGGATGGTTCCTGGTCGCGCACGCGAATAGAATAAGCCATTCATTTTCATCAATCAACGTGATTTATTTGAGAGCAAGGAAAGAAAAAAAATCCATCGTAATCAGTCTATTCGATTGAAAATCGTTGAACACGATGATTCCAATAATCGGCGACATAGAGATTGCCATGTCGATCGAAGGACAAATCAACGGGGGTGTTGAACTGATTTGCTCCTGCTCCTTGACCATTTCCACCCACAATGATAGTGCCCTGTTTCGCTCCTTTAGGCCAACGCATCACTCGATTATTCCCCCACTCTGCCACATAGATGGTACCCCCTGTATCGACGAATAGTCCTTCAGGATACGACAATTGTGTCAGAGCATTCCCATAGCCTTGACCTCCAGCGACGACAATTCCTTCTTTTGCACCTTTATTCCATTTCATTACACGATGATTGTTGAGGTCTGACACGTAGGCAGTCTGTTGTTGATCGACAAAGATGCATCTCGGCCAGTTGAATTGATTGAGACCAGCACCTTTGTCATTGCCACCAGCCACAATAGTTCCAATCTTGTCTCCTAGTTGATATCGTCTTACTTCATCTTTTTCGATGTCAGAGATGTAGAGATATCTCTGATCATCCATGGTCAATCTCCAACAATCGATGTTATCGATGAGGATTTCTCCTTGAGTTGTGCCACTACGACGAGACCATCGTACGACTCGTCGATTGCCCCAGTCACAAATAATGAGACTATCCGTCTCTTTGTCAATCAACACATCAGTTGGTTGATTCAATTGATCCAATCGATTTCCTGGACCATTGCCACCAGCTACTACTTGTCCACTCGTATCACCCACCTTCCATTGGATGATACGATGATTCAACCAGTCAGCGATGACCACCGTTTGATCATCATCAACAAAGAGACCATTAGGGTTGTTGAGTTGATTGTTGGCATTGCCCCATCCATGGCCTCCAGCAACAGTCGTTCCATTCTGTGCCCATCGAGCATCGACTGGAATATTGGGAATTACTACAATGAACGAAAAAGAAAAGAAATCGTCGTTATCGAAGAGATTCCCTCTCTCTCGCGGGAGAAAGAGCTATGAAGAAGATATTCGTCTTCTTCGAAGGGAATTCGATAAAACTTTCGAGAATGTTTTTTCCTCAGATAAAAATTCGGAAGCCTTTTCCTAGTTCCCTATGATAAAAAAAGGATTTCGTAACGATTCTTACATCTGCGTCGCTTTTAGTTTTTGCCAAGATCTTTTTGATCCGAAAAAACAACACCTAAAGATTACTGTAAGAAGGTCCTCGAAGAAAGAGTAATGCTAATTCCATGTCAGTTTTTGACAGAAAAACATAGGGATCTGAAGATTTTATTCAGAATTGCGAGAATTCAGAATTTTTTTTCAGAATGATTATTTCTATGAGCATCAGAGAATATTCTATCTGCATCTTGTGAGAACAAATATCGAATCGTTGAACAATAAATGTCAAACCTAATCCCTATATTTTTTAGGAAACCTTAGGGATACATGATTTTCTGCACGGTAAATGCAGATCTGCTGAAGAATCTCCTAAGTCTTTGCATAGAGTATGCCAGTGAAATTTTATAAGACTTTTGGCAGGTTATGTAAAGCTGTTCGAAGCACGACTCTGATAGGATCTTAGCAAGATCATCAGAAGGCTTGGATACAGGCGAAATTGAGGAAAGTTGAGAGGGTTCCACGCGGATCTATGTAATCTGAGGCCCTTTACTTTTGAAATGCTGAAACGATGCATGACAATCCTAACGGAGCTCTCCAGTGAAAGACATTGTGATCGATGGATTTTATGGGCTTTGGAAAGGGAGGTGGGAATAGGATAGGTGGAAAGTGTTCTAAAATGCTATTATTAACTTTTGATGAAAACCATCTTCAGACCATTGTATTAGGGTCCTAAAAGAGAATCTTGGTGCCTAAATAAGATACTCTGCCAAAATCTAAAAATCTAAAAATAATGAGTATCTTATATGAAGATCATGCTATAGCCCTTATGTAGTGCTTGTTCTGAGAAGCCTTCTTTGAGCTCGTATGTCATGAATATGTTCATGAAGATCTGAAGAGTAAGTATTTTGGAATGGTTGATATCAGAGATGGGCAATTCCAACGCCGAAGTCGATGCTTTTTCTCGTCAGAGTGAGAGTGGAGTTATATGGAGTAGGAATGGGGAAGAATGGAGATTTCTATCTCTGAATTTTATGAGAAAGTTTATAAAGCAATAAATTAATGTGCTACTAATTTATATGAATCGTAGATTTAATTATATTCAAAAACTTATGTGTATTTAAGAGTGTTTTGGCAGAAGTTCAGTTTTGTAAAATCCAACTGGAATTGAAGTTAAATCGGAGTTAGAGTAGGATTTTAGAAGAAAGAAGTGGAGTGGTATGGAGTTGGAGCAGAACATACTGTAGTTGAAATTGATGTGGAGTTTTAGAAAATAGGACTCGAGTTATGTGGAGTTGGGGGGAGACATAGTGTAGTTGTCCATCTCTGCTTAGTACACAAATGTCGATCCTAATGAGTACCTATGGCCCCTTCTCTGGAATATTAGGAATCACTACAATGAACGAAAAAGAAAAGATTCTGTCTCTAACACGGGGGAAAGCGCTGTGAAGGAGACATTCATCTTCTTCGAAGGGAATTTGATAAAATTTTTGATAATCTTCTTTCTGCAGATAAATATTCAGATGTCTTTTCCTAGTTTTCAATGAGAAAAAAAGGATTTCCTACCGATTCTTACATCTATATCACTTTTAGTTTTTGCCAAGATCTTTTTGACCCGAAAAACTACACTTGGAGATTGCTGTAAGGAGATTTTTCTGAGAAAGAGATTGGAATCTGAGGATTGTATTTGTAATTTAGAATTTAGAATCTTTTGCAGGATGATCATTTATATGAATATCAGACAAGAATTTAAGCAATAAAATAATGAACTATG